AGACTGGTCCTTGGAGAAGGACATCATGCTTGGGAGGGTGGAGGGACGGTGCAGGAGGGGAAGGCCCTCTGGGAGGTGGATTGATTCAGTGACTGGGGCAATTGGGATGAGTGTGTCAGAGACAATGAGTTTGGCACAGGACAGAACAGAGTTTAGGGCTCATAGGGTCGCTATGAGTCGCAAGCGACTTTACAGCACATAACAACAACAACAACATGCCACCAGAATTTCAAATGTCAGGAGGGGCACCCATGGTAGTCAGTCAAGTTTGCTGAAGTTTCCAGACTAAATCGGACTGAAAACTGGCCTGCTTACTAGTTGGAATAATGATCTACTGAAAACTCTATGAATAGCAGCAGAATCTATAGTGTTGGAAGATAAAGTGCTAGAGGATGAAGCCCCAAGGTAGAAGGGAATCAAAGCATAAAAAGGGAAAAAACTGCCTCCTCAAAGGAGCATCTATCCTAATGATGTGTGCAAAGATTTTAGCAAGTGAACAGTCTCAATTTGCTTATGGCACTACTACTCAAAATTATAAAAAAAATAGCTATAACATCTGCTAATAATTAGCTATTATTATTAGATATACACATGGAGTCTGAATCTATAAAAATTGGAAGTGATAAAAAATGAAATGGAAGATATATAGAGATTAATATCCATTATTGATATTAGCATTGGTGAGCTAACATGGAATAGTATTGGTAATTTTGAGTCAGTTGTTAATGATTTAATCTTGCTTGAATTCACAATAAACACTCCCGGCACTATCAGTCAGGAACTCAAAAGACAAGTTGCATTGGGAAAATCTGCTGTCAAGAATCTTTCAAGAGTGCTAAAGAGCAATGATGTCAGTGTAGAGACTAAGGGGTGCCTGATTCAGGCCTTGTTTTTTCAGTTGATGCTATGCATCTGAGAGTTGGACAATGACTAAAGATAACAGAAGAAGAAATGATGCCTTTGAGTTGTTGGGCTGGAAAAGAGCATTGAACATACCATGGATTGCTAATAGAACAAAATAGGTCTATCCTGGAGATGGTGAAATCAGTTTGCTTTTTAGAGGCAAGGATTTTGAAGTTCCATCTGACATACTTTGGACATGTTTCCAGGAGGGATTATCCTTGGAGAAGGACATCATTCCTGGAAGTGTACTGGGTCAGGGCAGAAGAGGAAGACCTTAGATGAGATGGATTGACATAGTGACACTGGCAGTGGGGTCAGGCGTGTCAGAGATGCTGAGGTTGGCTCAGGAGAGATCATTGTTCAGTGCCATTGTTTATAGAATCACTGTATAGTTGACCTGATGGTACATACATAACAGTAACAACAACTACGTCAAGTACAAAAAAAACTGAACAGGAAAATTGTCACATTCATCTTTAAAAGCAACCTTTCAAGATCTATCCTGAAATACAATATCTGTGATAGGATTATATATTTATGTATAGAAGGAAGATCTGTTAATATGACTATTATTTAAATTTATGCTCTAACCACTCAAGCTGAACTTGAATAAATTGAAGATTTCAACAAACTTCTGCAGTCTGAAATCTATCAAACACACAATCAAGGCATACTAAAAATAACTTAATAATATACAATGAGGAGGGAATGAAATAGGTGAATGGGACCTCAAAGAATCAAATCCCTCTGCACATAAAAAGAAAACCCAAAACTTTTCCAACAGGGTAAGAAGGGAACTCACAGACTGGGAAAAATATTTAGCAAGCACATATCTGATAAGGGACTTATATTAAAAAAAATTATAGACTACTTAAGCATGTCAACAAGAAAAAGCTAAACAGCCTAACCACAAAATGGGCTC